TAGCCCAGATCTGGACAAGTGGGGGAGTAGAGGGAGGTGGAGTGTACAGTCGGTAAAGACGGCTCTCCCTTGCCCTGCCTCCAACACGTCTCCATCTAAATAGGATAGGTTATCCAGAGTTATCTCTGTAGTTATGCTACTATAGGCTTAAACTGCTGGAGGACACACTGACCACTTTTCACACTCTACTACTTTCTTCTACAATCTGCTCATTAACTGTATTATTTCCTGCAATTTCAGCTGTTAACTTTATTTTCTCTCTAAGTGTTTTTCTCCCCAGAAGAAGCTACAACAACGTTCTGCTGAGCTGTGGTGGCCTCATGGAGGGGGCCATCGTCTAGCACACTGCTGCTAACCACTTAAACATTCTCCCTCTCCTGATAATAACACTTTACTTTCTTTGACATTGAATGTGCTACTACTAGTTTACCCGTCGAATTAATTATAGATCATAATTAAAGTAGTGTTGTTTCCCTGGCATACCCAAAATACTTAGTTTCATCATCAATTGTATATTAAAGGTTCAGTAATATTGATTATCCATATTTTTATGGAATATTACATTTCATTGAATACCTTTATATTCTAATGACAATTTATTAAATCTAACCACTTACAAACTTTGAATATATGTAGCTAAAGGTGCACACATGGCTTTACAGGAACGTATGCCTCCTGTTGAAATAATAGACAAGTCAGCGAGTCATCAAGGTGCTTCGGGCCAAAGTTCAGTAAGTGCTCTCAGGACTTAGTGATTTTGAAGGCCTTTTTTAAAAAAGAAGCCAGTTAATTGACTTCATGGTACGAAAAAAATGTCCTCTGCTGTAATCTGAAAAGGTCGGAGATGTCTGATTATTAAAATAACCCTGCAAGCTGAGTTTTGCAGTAACCTCCTGGGATGAATGGATGAAGCACGCAGAAAAGTCTGAAAAATAAATGAACTTTTCATATTAAATATTCTGGGAATCAACACTATTGAAGGAGGTGAACACGTATACAAACTGGTCTAAAGAGCTTAACACTACGACTTCCTAAAAACTCTAAATTACTTTTAAACCTCAGACAGAAAATTCTTTGTTGTTATAGCAAAACTTTTACCAGTGAAGTTTTAGGAGATGCGATAAAGCTACAGAGGGAAATAATTCCTCCGTGTTCTGAAACGTTCATTAACTCATCATCCAAACCTTCTGGGGCTCCGGGAGTTGGTGCCATCAGGTGAGGGACGGTGGACACCCAATTTCCAGTCCATTACAAGGACACACAGAGACACAAAACCACTCACTCACTCAGAGACTATTTAAAGTCACCAGTTAACCTGACATGCATGTTTTTCGTCTGTTGGAGGAAACCAACATATGGATAGAATAGAATAGAATAGAATAGAATAGAATAGAATAGAATACACTTTTTAAATCTCACTGTAGGGAAATACCTATATCGATGGGAAATGCACTCATCACAGCAGCACATACATAGCCTGGCAATGCTCCATTGATGGCTCTCAGTCATGGGGAGGGTTCTACCGTTGTCTTTCAAACGATCTCCGCATGCTACTGAACAAGGAGCAACGTGACGTTCTCATCGCAATGGATGTCGGTCAATGAGGCGGTCCGCTGTTGAAGAAGGTGAAAATACGTTCTTTATCTAAATAAAGGACTCTATCTGCTTCTGATTCTAATAAAGCCCAAGTCCAAATAGTCCAAAATTGATGTGAAAGCTGTTTCAAATGAGCAGTCACCATCTTGTTCCACTCCAGGGCATCATCCCGCCCACTAAACCAGTAGTGCGCTGTCATTGGTCCACCATTGTGGACCAATGACAGCGCACTATCAGTTTGAAACCCAAAGTCAACCCATGTCCAGCGCCTCCTACCAAGTCGACGCCACCTCCGACGCCTTCAGCCAAGTCGGCGCCAGGTCCAGCGGTCCTACCTGCAGTGGCTCTGTCTCCAGGGATTCTGATTCCGGCGGTCCCGCCTCCAGCCAAGTCAGCGCCTCCAGCCAAGTCGGCGGATCCTCCTCCAGGGATTCTGGTTACGGTGGTCACGCCCCCAGCCAAGACGGCGAACCCACCTCTAGGGATTCTGGTTCCAGCGGCCCCGCCTCCAGCCAAGTTGGCGCCTTCAGCCAAGTCGGCGGGCCCGACCCAGGGATTCTGGTTCCGGTGGTCCCGCCTCAATCCATGTCCAGCGCCTCCCACCAAGTCAACGACAAGCCCAGCGCCTCCCACCAATTCGGCGCCAAGTGCGGCGCCTCCCACCAAGTCGGCGCCAAGTCCGGTGCCTCACATCAAGTCATCTGCGCCATGTCCGGCACCTCAAGTCAAGTCGGCAGACTCACCTCCAGGTATTCTGGTTCCGGCAGTTATGCCTCCAGCCAAGTCGGCCCCTCCAGCCAAGTCGGTGGACCCGACTCCAGGGATAATGGTTCCGGCGGTTCCGCCTCCAGCCAAGTCGGCGCCTTCAGCACCTCTGCTCAAGTTGGCGCCTCCAGTCATCGCCAGCCCTGTCCTTGCCTGTCGCTGACGGCCTCCAAGGGCCCTCTGGCCACTGCCTCGTCGCTGCCGGCCTCCAAGGGCCCTCTGGCCACTGTCTCGTTGCTGCTGGCCTCCAAGGGCCCTCTGGCCATTGTCTCGTCGCCGCCGGCCTCCAAGGGCCCTCTGGCCACTGCCTCGTCGCTGCCGGCCTCCAAGGGCCCTCTGGCCACTGTCTCGTTGCTGCTGGCCTCCAAGGGCCCTCTGGCCACTGTCTCGGTCAGAGCTGCTTGCACCTTAATAGATCACAGCAGAATGGATAGTAGAGCCAACAACAAAAGGTCTAGATTAGCATACTACCAAGACAACCTCAGCAACCACGACTTCTCAGATACCGGATGCTCATATCTGGGATAAAGAAATATCTATGTGTCACGCGTTTGACTTAACTTTACTTTGTCCTTGTGTGAGTGTGGATGGTGATGGCCTTGTCATATCAATATTACTGATCAATGTAATCATAACATAACATTCATTTCAAACTTCAGTCATTCAAGTACAGATTAATGAAAGCATTTCATTTATATTATAATTATTATAAGTGACAATAAACAAATTTTTATTTGATGATTGTTCACTTATAAGTTTTAAAAGTTCATATTTAATTTAAGAAGTCATTCTTTAATTTAGCAGCTAATCCGAGCTGCGAGTGTTCACTTATTCAGAGGCACGAAGAATCCTGTAGAATGATAAGGGAGGCTTGAGCCTTGAGGAGGGAACATCATTGTTGAACATTCGCTATCATGTGTTCAGAGCTGCAGAGAGGCTCTGAGCTCCAGCTGGTGGGATGAAGGCAGGCCGATTTAGGGAAACACATGCAGTCTCGTGTCTCCATTTTGACCAGATGTTGAAGGGTCAAACTGTACTTAAAAACTGACCATTGCTGGACATTACACCTGGATCAAGTTTATTAGATGCTTAGCATCTTCCAAGTTTGACAGGTTCCTCATGGATTAAATCAGGTGTGTTGCAGCAGAAAATCACCTGGAGTTTTATAACCCTGATTTAGAGACTCAGGAAACCTCAGGTGCTTGACGTAATCAGCTGATTGGGTTTACAATATTTCACTTTTTTACATCATTCTAATATTCCGTGTGATACCTGAAACTTTTCCGCTGAAAAGTGATTTAGTCAGACGTAACCCTCTGAAGTTTGCCTGCATGGTGTGTGTGTGTGACAGTAAAGTAACAAAAGAGAAATAAGAAATGATTTGTTGTTTATTTGGCAAAGATCAATTGTAATAGTTAGGACATATTTTCATGGCTCCTCTGAAGAAAGACAGGAGGAGATGCAGCGCCTGGATAATCAGACAGAGAGAGCAGATGAAGGAAAAAGAGCCAGAAAACCCAAAGGAAGCATCAATGCTGAACTCCAGGGTTAAACACCTTCTGATCATGTTAGTCTCAATCTGAACTACAATAAGATCCATGGAAGGAGACCAAGGTGGTCATAAAACAGGTGAAGATTCACTAAAACATATTGATGAGGCACATAACTAATGGTTCCATTTTGCATATATACACGCATATATATATACATATATATATATATATATATATATATATATACATATATTATATATACATATATGTACAGATATATATGTACATGTATATATATGTACATATATATACATATACATATATGTACATATATACATATATATATATACACATATGTACATATATACATATATATACACATATATACATATATATATGTATATATATATATGTACATATATATATATGTATATATATGTACATATATATACATGTACATATATATATATGTATATATATGTACATATATATACATGTACATATATATATATGTATATATATGTACATATATATATATCTATATATATATATATATATATATATATATATATATATATATATATATATATATATATATATATATATATATGTACGTACACACACACACACACGAGGTGGTTGTGCAGTACCGGAGCTCCACAGAGTACAGTGCTCTCACCCTTTCTCTTCACCTTCTCACCAGTAAACATCCAGAAGCAGACATTGAGGTGTTGGATACCTTTAAGTACCTGGGTGTTCACCTCAACAGTATACTGAACTGGTCCAACAACACACTCCTGAGTCTGTCTTTACCATTATGTTGTTTTCTCTGTTATCTACTCTGCTGTGGTCTGTTGGGGTACAAGCAGCTCTGACCAAGACAGGAAGAGGCTAAACAAGCTACTTAACAAATCTAGCTCGGTTCGGGGTTGCCAGCTACATTCAGTTTAGGAGACATCTGAAAGGAGGATGGTGGGGGAGATGGCCTCCATCTTGGAAAACCCCTCCCACCCACTGCATTTCCCTGTGGAGACCATGGACATCTCCTTCAGAGGCAGACTGAGACATCCCAGATGCAAAACAGAATGCTACCATAGGTCATGCACATAGTATACAGTATATGCATGTGAGAAACAAATCCAGGTGTTTGAAGTTAAGATTTTATTTATTCAAGTTAGATCAAAGTTTTTATTTACAGTTTCTTTTTTGCTACATTATCAAAATCACCCAGTTTTAACAACAAAAGGCTTATTTTCCTCTGAGACTGGTCAGAAGGTTTAGTGATTGTGTGATTAGTGAAACAGGATGTCTTCTGTATGTTTCTAAAATCTCTGATGTTTCAGACCAACATCAATAACATTACTGAGCTCCAGTCAACGAGAATGAAAAGTATCGACCCGGAGGCATGAAGCCTCACATAGTAGTGCTCGGGACTGCATGTCATCAAAGAATCACAAGAGTTTAATCGACATATTGAGGCACAAAACTCGTCTTTGCTCCTCCATGGTCTCACAGCTTGGCTTTTCCTGGCACCACCTGCAGGTTCTGCAGCTTCATGGCCATGCCCATGTTCCCAGTGATCTTCAGCTGCCCTTTAAAGAACGCCTGGTGTAACAAAAGATAGGAAAAAAGTACAAGTCTGCATTAATATTTTACTTAAATTACAGATTTAACACTAAGAAGTGGAAACAATGCTGAAACTCTGAATTCTCACTCTCTCTCTCTCTCACACACACACACACACACACTCGCTCTCTCTCTCTCCATATCTCTTTCCCTCCCTCTCACACACAGATGGGTTAAAAGCTTAACTGTCTCCTTTTCATCTATGCAACTGGGTCGGAGATCCAAACACACTCATCAGATTCAGCAAACCTATTTGTGAAAACTTGCTTATTTTCTACGGCCCATCAGAAGGGTGAACTGCCCCAGAAGACCCAAAACAAGAGCAGCAGACATTAAATCCCAGGAATTTATGATGCTGTCAAACATGTCTGGTTCCAACTAACAAGTCCTGGTGTCATGTTTTCTATTTCAGATCCCTTTCTTCTGGAACTGAAGTAAAAAAAAAAAAACTACTCAGATGCCAGGTGCTTTTGCATCTATAAGGAAGTGGGGCAGCAGTAGCTCAGGTGGTAGAGCGGGTTGCCTCATGATCGGAGGGTCATGGGTTCGATTCCAGCTCCCGCCAGAGGTATCCTGCTGTTGTGTCCTTGGGCAAGACACTTCACCCAACTTGCCTGTGTTAGTGGTGGTCAGAGGGGCCGATGGCGCCAAATGGCAGCCTCGCCTCTGTCAGACCTCCCCAGGGCGGCTGTGGCTACAAGTAGCTTACCATCACCAGGGTATCTGCAGATTTAAGGGAGCCAAATTTAAGACTTTTTAAGACCTTTTTTAAGGCCACTTTGACCAAATTTAAGCTATTTTAAAAATTAAATTTAAGCGATAATTTCCAGCTATTGCCTGGAGCCGGTGCTAACCACGTCGCGAATGTGGGATTAACCATCCAGTTACCATTAAACTTGCCCTTCCCCATGGCGCAAGCTCCCACTAGCTTAACCAGCTAATGTGCTTATCTAGAAAATAGCCCCCTTTCACAACCAACTGACTGCGTACGGTTCCGCTTACGCGCACGTCATACACAAAAAATGCTGAACACTAACTAGAAATTCACGAAATTTTTATAGAAATAAAATAATCTTGTTTATTGGGTCTTTGGTAATTTAAGACCTTTGGAAACTGGATTTAAGGATTATTTGTCATTTTTAAGGACTTTTAAGGCCTTAAATTAGGAAAAGCTAATTTAAGACTTTTTAAGACTTTTTAAGGACCCGCGGATACCCTGATCACTAGCAGTGTGTGAGTGTGAGAGTGTGTGAAAAGTGTCTTTGGGTGTCTACAAAAGCGCTATATAAGTTCAATGCATTATTATAATTATTATTATTATTATTATTAAAATTAAAAGAAGGTTGTGAATAAATCACACGAAGATGAGGTTTAACTTTAATTTCTATGCAGATGATACGATCATCTACTGTTTTGGAACATCAAGTTTCTCATGTTGTTGAATCCCTGCAGAAAGCATTTGACGTAGTCCAGCACTCCTTACATCAGCTAAAGCTAACCCTTAATGCTGAGAAGACTAAGCTAATGTTTTTTACAAATAGGCAAATGCCAAATAGTTTTCCTGAAGTAATCACATTGGAAGGGAAAGTCATAGAGATGGTCCATGAGTATAAGTACCTAGGTGTTTGGATAGATAACTCCCTTACCTTTAAATGTCATATAGATAAACTGGTGAAAAAATTAAAACTTAAGCTGGGTTTCTACTTCCGTAATAAGTCGTGTTTTTTTCTTTTGAAGGAAAAAAGCAACTTGTCACAACAACCTTTTTATCTGTTCTAGATTATGGTGATCTTATATATATGAATGCTTCTTTAGCTGTGCTACAAAAACTGGACTCGGTTAAACATGCGTCTCTGAGGTTCATCACAAACTGTAGAGCCATAACACATCACTGTGAATTATATTCACGAGTGAAATGGCCGTCATTGGCAATAAGAAGGCAAAATCATTGGTATGTTTTTATTTACAAGGCAGTGTTTGGATTGTTACCTCCTTATATTTGCACATTAATCACACAAAAAAATGTTGATTCCCGTTCTTTAAGGTGTAACGATCAGTTGCTGCTTTCTGTTCCTTTTGCTCGTACACAGTTAGGAAAGAGAGCCTTCGCCTGCTCTGATCCTTCCGCTTGGAACCAGCTGCAGAAAACCTGGAAAATGACTGCGCAGTTTTCACTAAATGCCTTCAAAACCAAACTGAAAGCTTCAGAGACTGCATTAGTAACTTGTAACTGCTTTTAATGATCGAGTGTTTTATCATTGCAATTATGTTGTAACTGTATTTTTGCTGCCTCTTGGCCAGGACACCCTTGTAGAAGAGGTTTTTAACCTCAATGGGTCTCTATCCTGGTTAAATAACAACACATTCTCACCCCCAGCACGTCAAAAACAAACGCTTGGTCAGCCACCCTCCGCCTCAGACCCCGACGCCAAAAGTGCCCTTTTTCGTTACTTATGTGCGAAAAGGGTTTTTCCCTTTTCTGACTGCAGATCCCAATGCAGCGTTACACTGACGCAATGGGATGTCCGCAGCATGGGCACCAAACAAGCTCATTGTACCTCACCCTAACCTTATCCTCTTGTTATTTAACCTTCCCCTCACCCCTATCCTAACCTTAACCATCTTGCTAGCTAACACGTTAGTGACGTCTCGGTCGCTCTAAAAGCCGGCTCTATGAAGTGAACGGCGGGAGCCGCCTCGTCATTGGTCGAGTTTGGACCGAGCCAACGCGAGGGGGGAGGTTTCAACTACCACGGTGGAGGTTAAAAGTAGAGGGTATTTGTAACCTCCCCCTCGCCAGATGGTATGTTCTAACGTTCCCCTTGGGCGGCAAATACGAAAATTCAGTCAGAATGCATGGGAAACAAACGCTTGATCACAGTGAGAGTAACGTTTTAGGTGGCAAGAGGGTTAAGGTTAGGATGAGGGAGAGGGGAAGGTTATAAATAGTGAAACGTTAAGGTTTAGGTGCGGTTAAATTAGCTGGTTCGGTGCCGCATCAGCGGACATCCCATCATGTCAGTTTAACGCTGCATTGGGATCTTCAGTTACAAAAGGGAAAAAACTCTTTTCGCACATAAGTAACGAAAAAGGGCACTTTGTGGCGTCAGGGGTCTGATGTGGAGGGTGGCTGACCAAGCTGGGATTGAGAATGTGTTATAAATAAAGGTAAAAAAAAATTTAATAAAGGAGGAGTGGAAACTCCTCCTTGAACCGTTACCTTATCGTGGTGGAGGAGTTTGAGTGCCCTAATGATCCTAGGAGCTATGTTGTCTGGGGCACTTTGTGCCCCTGGTAGGGTCTCCCATGACAAATTGGTCTTAGGTGAAGGGTGAGACAAAGAACGGTTCACAGGCTCTTTCATGGAGGTAAAGTCAAAGAGTCTGAGTAACAGGCCCGGAGGGTTACCGGGGTCCCACCCTGAAGCCAGGCCTGGGGTTGGGGCCCGTGAGTGAGCGCCTGGTGGCCGGGCTTTCGCCCATGGGGCTCGGCCGGGCCCAGCCCAAACCGGATATATGGGCTCATCCAACTGTGGACCCACCACCCGCAGGAGGAACATGAAGGGTCCGGTGCAATGTGGATCGGGTGGCAGACCAAGGCGGGAGCCTTGGCGGTCCGATCCCCGGACAAGAAAAATGGTTTTTGGGACATGGAACGTCACCTCGCTGGCAGGGAAGGAGCAGGAGCTTGTGGCAGAGGTTGAGCGGTACCGGCTAGATATAGTCGGACTCACCTCGACACATAGCATTGGCTCTGGAACCCAAGTCCTTGAGAGGGGTTAGACACTCTCCTTTGCTGGAGTTGCTCCGGGTGAGAGGCGGAGGGCTGGGGTTGGCTTTTTGTTAGCCCCAAGACTCTCTGCCTGTGTGTTGGGGTTTACCCCGGGGGATGAGAGGGTAGCTTCCCTGCGCCTTCGGGTCGGGGAACGGGTCATGACTGTTGTTTGTGCTTATGGGCCAAATATCAGTTCAGAGTACCCACCCTTTTTGGAGTCCCTGGGACGAGTGCTAGATAGTGCTCCATCAGGGGACTCCATTGTCCTGCTGGGGGACTTCAATGCTCACGTGGGCAATGACAGCCTGACCTGGAGGGGTGTGATTGGGAGGAACGGCTCGTCTGATCTGAACTCGAGTGGTGTTTCGTTATTGAACTTCTGTGCAAGCCGCAGTTTGACCATAACGAACACCATGTTCGAACATAAGGATGCCCATCGGTACACTTGGTACCAGGGCAGCCTAGGTCACAGGTCGATGATAGACTTTGTAGTCATATCATCTGACCTGCGGCCGTATGTTTTGGACACCCGAGTGAAGAGAGGAGCGGAGCTGCCAACTGATCACCACCTGGTGGTGAGTTGGATCAGATGGCAGGTGAAGATGCTGCGTAGACCTGGCAGGCCCAAACGCATAGTGAGGGTCTGCTGGGAACGCCTGGCAGAAGAACCTGTTAAGACAGTCTTCAACTCCCACCTCCGGCAGAGCTTCGACCGCGTCCCGAGAGCAGTGGGGGACATTGAGTCCGAGTGGGCCTTGTTCCACTCTGCGATTGTTGAGGCGGCTGTTGCTAGCTGTGGTCGCAAGGTGGCCGGTGCCAGTCGTGGTGGCAACCCCCGTACCCGCTGGTGGACGTCAGGCTGAAGAAGGAGGCCTACAGGGCGTGGCTGGTCTGTGGGTCTCCGGAGGCAGCAGACAGGTACCAAATAGCCAAGCGGGATGCAGCAGTGGCAGTTGCCGAGGCAAAATCTCGGGTGTGGGAGGAGTTTGGTGAGGCCATGGAGAAAGACTATCGATCGGCTCAAAAGAGGTTCTGGCAAACTGTCCGGCGCCTCAGGAGAGGAAGGCAGCAACTCGCTCACACTTTTTACAGTGGGGATGAGGAGCTGCTGACGTCAACTGAGGCTATAGTCGGACGGTGGAAGGAATACTTTGAGGAGCTCCTCAATCCCACCTATGCGCATTCTGAGGAGGAACCAGAGCTGGGAGACCTGGATATGGACTGTCCAATCTCGGGGGCAGAAGTTGCTGAGGTAGTCAAACAACTACACAGCGGCAGAGCCCCGGGGGCGGATGAGGTTCGTCCTGGGTATCTCAAGGCTATGGATGTTGTAGGGCTGTCATGGTAGACATGTCTCTGCAACATTGCGTGGTCATCGGGGGCAGTTCCTGTGGAGTGGCAGACCGGGGTGGTGGTCCCCATCTTCAAGAAGGGTGACCTGAGGGTGTGTTCCAACTATAGGGGGATCACACTCCTCAGCCTCCCTGGAAAGGTCTACTCCAAGGTACTGGAGAGGAGGGTCCGATCGATAGTTGAATCTCAGATTGAGGAGGAGCAATGTGGTTTTCGCCCTGGCCGTGGAACTGTGGACCAGCTCTATACCCTTGCAAGGGTGATGGAGGGGGCATGGGAGTTTGCCCAACCAATCCACATGTGTTTTGTGGATTTGGAGAAGGCTTATGACCGTGTCCCCAGGGGCACCCTGTGGGGGACGCTCCAGGAGTATGGGGTGGGTGGCTTTCTGTTAAGGGCCATTCATTCCCTTTACCAGAGGAGCGTGAGTTTGGTCCGCATAGCCGGTAGTAAGTCGGACCTGTTCCCGGTGAGGGTTGGACTCCGCCAGGGCTGCCCTTTGTCACCGGTTCTGTTCATTACCTTTATGGACCGAATTTCTAGGCGCAGCCGTGGTGTGGAGTGTGTTGAGTTTGGTGGCAGGAGAATCTCGTCTCTGCTTTTTGCGGATGATGTGGTCCTCCTAGCTTCATCCAGCTCTGACCTTCAGCTCTTGCTGGGTAGGTTCGCGGCCAAGTGTGAAGCGGCTGGGATGAGGATCAGCACCTCAAAATCTGAGACCATGGTTCTCGACCGGAAAAGGGTGGCTTGCCAACTCCGGGTCGGGGGAGAGGTCCTACCTCAAGTGGAGGAGTTTAAGTATCTCGAGGTCTTGTTCACGAGTGAGGGTAGGAGGGATCGGAACATCAACAGGCGGATTGGTTCAGCATCTGCAGTGATGCGGACGCTGAGCCGATCTGTCGTGGTGAAGAGGGAACTGAGCCAGAAAGCCAGGCTCTCGATTTACCGGTCGATCTACGTCCCAATCCTCACCTATGGTCATGAGCTTTGGGTAATGACCGAAAGAACGAGATCGCGGATACAAGCGGCCGAAATTAGTTTCCTCCGTAGGGTGGCCGGGCTCAGCCTTAGAGTTAGGGTGAGGAGCTCGGACATTCGGGAGGGACTCGGAGTAGAACGGCTGCTACTCCGGATCAAAAGGAGCCAGTTGAGGTGGTTTGGGCATCTGGTCAGGACGCCTCCTGGACGCCTCCCCGGGGAGGTGTTTGGGGCATGTCCTGCCAGCAGGAGGCCCCCGGGTCGACCCAGGACACGAGAGAGGTTACATCTGCAGTCTGGTCCGGGAACGCATTGGGGTCTTGCCGGAGGAGCTGGTGGAGAAGGCCCGGGAGAGGACGGTTTGGAGCTCCCTAGTTGGGATGCTGCCCCCGCGACCCGGACCCGGATAAGCGGAGGAAGACGACGACAAAAATTAATAAAGATGAATTAGCATCAATCTGAGTCTCATTTATTACTGGGTTAATGTGTGTCGCTGCGTAGGAAGGAACTGGACCAGAACCGACAACAACAGGTTTATTTTCCTTTGACCCAGACCAAATCAATCATAGCGGAGATGTAGGAAACCTTACACTGGAATCAATGCTGCAGAGAAAAATGATCAGAGTGCTTTTTGTGACTTCTGAGGCTGACATTTTCAGCTGTTATTGGATTTATTAAAACAAGAAAAAGGATTTGCCATTCGATATGTAAAGAGCACGACAAAACGGACTGAATAAGAGCACAAACCGTTTGTGGGTTTAACTTTCCAGTCATCAGATTCAGCAGATCCTCGTCGTCGAGGGTCAGCGTGCAGTCTGCCTTCTCACCTACAAGAAAAAAAGCACATTCAACAGATTCACCCTCTGCTGATAAAAGCTTCCACACACAGGAGCATTGGGCCCGTGAAAGGCTCGTCTCAGCGCCTCACCACAGACGTCTGTATAGAAACCAACGCTCACTTCACTCGGATTTGCATTTTGATGAAGGTTGTCATACAAGTGCAGAGCGTGTTGTATGCAGCGCACGTGCTCAGGTAAGAGCCTTTTTTATTGGAGCAATCCAGACATTGTGACTTATGTGCAATAAATGGTTCCAACTGTGTTTCTGGCGCTTTTCGGGTCAAACGCATCAATGTCAGTTTCAGATTCAGTCACAGCCAGTACCCGCTTCTTCTCAAATAATGTAGAGACAGGCCTTAGGCGGCAAACACGGCGCAACCAGGTCTAAAGTAATGAGCAACTTTTAGCGAATGTGACTTGTTGATACTAGAAATCCTCATAGTCAAAAGAGGAACTCTAAAATCAGACGAGCTGCATTTCACCTTTAGAGGTGTGCAGAATGTATGAGGGATGCATGCAACGGCGCTCTAATGAGATGCTGTAGGAGTGCAGGTAGGTAGAGGAGGAGGCAAAGCGCTGATTGTCCTCTGCAGAGTCAGCTTTCTGGGACAAAACAGCAATAGCTGTAACAATGTTAGGGTTCATTTTTTCCCCATAGAGCCTAAATTCCCAGGAAGCGGCTGATGTTCATGGCCGTGTCTGAAAGGTTGTTAAGATCACACCGCCTCGTCTCTTCGGTCCGACTAACTGTAACCTCGTATCTGAAAAATACACCTGGAGGAGCATAGATACGGCCAAAAGAGGAGCTACAGTGTACTTTTAACTTTGTGGTGTTTGACAGATAAATGACACGTTGCATTTGGAGTCGAGAGGAAAAGATGATGCAGTTTTGTCACAAAGTATTTAAACACAGCTGATTTAAAGAGATGCAACTAGTCAAAGATGGTTTGTTTTAGTAAATCACAGAAACTGCAGCTCTGCTGATGTCTCTGATGAAAGACAAAAACAGGAGTAGAGGAGGGTGAATTTGTATCAGCGTAGAGGTCAGAAACCATTTAATACTTGTTCTTATTGAGATAAGGAAATACGAAAACTCTGTCGGAGGGTTAACTCTGGAATAGCCTTGGCAGTGAGATAAGAGACAACAGTAGGTAAAAAGAAATAACCTTTAAAGAGACCGTGTGTATTTTTCCTGGCAATAGGGGGTAGTAGATACCTAAATCGTTGCAAGCAAGCAGTATTTTTCTATTGGAGTAAGACCTTACCAACGGATGCCCATTAGGGTCAAAAAGCCCCAGGGAGTGCAAATTCAGCAAAATAACAAGCACATCAGACTCTCTTTCATCACTGGCAACAAGTGAAGAGGTAAATAAGAAAAATAAAAACATTTAAGAATGGCGAAAGTTTTGTAATAGTTTGTTACAAATCAGTAAATGCATTTTGTCCTCGTGGGCTCCCGTAGAAGCAAACATGGCATCTAATATGGCGTCGCCCAGACACTTAGGCCCGCTCCCAGGTATTTTAGACCTGATTTTTATGGTTGTATGTTACAAAGCTGCCAGCATTTTTCAAGAACTGGGGTTCATTTCATTAATTTTCAACAATATTTTCCGGCTCTTGGAGGGTGCAGACGCTTTTCTTCTTCTCTCCTCCAGATCTTATCCTCAAGGCCTTTGTCTGTCTGTGTGTGCTGGGTGCACGGCTGCTTCTGCATTTTTTCTGGAAACTGAAATTCACTAAAATGGATCTCGTCAGTTGGTCACTCAACGCGGTTGATAAAAATTTTTCATCGATGAGAACGGGAGAAGGGGCTCCCGAATGCCCCTCCGGGACAGACCAGCTGTCTGTGGAGGACTCTGAAGACGTGTGGATATTCGTGGTGTTGGTGTCGGGTTTCCTGCTGATCGGCATTGGAGGCTACCTGGCTTACCGGAAAATTAACGAGCTGTTGAGGAATATTGGCTGGATCCCGGAGCTCAGAGATGGTTTGCACTGCGCTGTGAATTCACAGACTCATAACTGTCAAGATGAATCGTAAGCTTGGAACTTTGGCCGAGATTCATTCATTGGCACAAAGATGGATGCCATCAAGGAGAGAGTGGACGAATCAGCACGTATTGGGATAGTTTAATATCCATTATTGGGATTTTGAGAGGTTGAGGACCAAGGAACTTTAAGACAGAGAGGAAATTATCTCCGTCTGGCCCCAAAACAATTTCTAATTGGAATCTGGCGTCCTTGAGCCTGCAAGGAATGAAAACTCCCCCCTCAGAAGATATGTGGAATGTGCCGTCGCTATGGCAACTCAACTCTGTCTCCTATCCCAGCTTGGGCGGGAATGTGGGAAGGCCGCTGAAAAGTTCCAGGGTCACTGCAACCCTCCAACCCTCAATGCTCCTCCCCCTATCCACACTGAGGTGACATGCGCTGCTTATCGTGGCTGCAGGAGCTGAAATGGGGATAGTCCCAACCCACCACCCCACCTAGTGGACACTTATGTTATGTTGTCTGAAGTCTGTTGCATATCTGTTTCAGGTGGGGTTTTTTTTTTTTTGCATGGCAAAGCTGCCCTCCCTATGGAGGGTAGCTCTGAAGTGCCTTTTTTTCCCTCCACCTGAACCAATCCTCATGTAAACCCCTCTTATCTCTATTAAGGTAGCGTGACTCAGGGTTGCGAATGACCATAGTCACCAATTCTTGTCATGTGTCTTGCCCATGTATGTCTGATCTCTGAATTGTGTGTACTGAAACTAATTTCCCTCTGGGATTAATAAAGTATCTTTGATTGATTGATTGATTGGATATTTCCAGAAATTAATGGTAAAAACTACACATTGTCTCTTTAAGGAGAAAAATATATTATAATAGTAATAATACAAAAAATATGTATAAAACTACAGCTTAGAGAATCTTTTATGTAATGTCAGGTGTCACAGGTGGCAGGAATGGCCAATCACACATTGGCAAGTATCAGCAGAGCCAATAGATGAGCTTATGGACGGTTCTAACGGGAAACAGGCGGTTGTTTTCTGCTTGGTCCTAGTGCTCTACAGGACCTATTTAATATAGCGCAACCCTAACCCCCACCCCAAAAACTACATCCATGGCTGAATTATAGGGTGGTTTATTATGATCACTTCCGTAGAGGCGTCCTCTTGGTCACAACAGAAGGAGTGGGTGGAGTAGGACTCTGGTAGGAGGGTGACATGCCTCCATAATGTCTTCATTAAGACCTCCACAACTTGTTAACTTTTGGAGTCCACCCAAAGATGGCTGCACCAGCTATCGTATCGATATCAAACTACATTTTGACAGGTTAGTATCTGAGAGTGCTATAATAAAACTGGAGAAATTACTTCTGATCAACACAATAAATTAAGCATGTTTCACTGTTTTCCATAGTTAAACAACATAAAACGGTTGTAACTAAAACAGAAGTAGGCTGCGCAGAAAGATAACACACAAACACTAACAGCCTTCATACAGCGCTGACACCGCACATGAGGGGATTTAACCTGAGAGGAAATAAAAAGCGGAGGCAGCTGCTCACTCAAAACACACAAAGATGGACCCAGGCGTGCAGCCGTTAGCTAGCAGGAGCAGCAGTTATCCGCTTTTTGATGTCAGAAGGATCACAATAAGAGGGATTTTACATAATGCGCCCCATTAAAGGGAGACTATGACTGCTGTGTCCACGTCAGCAGAGGTTCTGTAGAGATAACGGCTTTATGACGTCAACGAAGGGCCAGTGAAACGAGGAAACAACAAGCCTGTTTCTGGGCAAGAGCTGGTCAGCTCACAGAAACTGATAAATTAACAGGAAAACCTTTAAAACGCATTTCATGAAACAAAGCTTCATATTGAGAGTGATTTCTAACGTTGAGAGTTGGGAAAACTTTGAGCTGGAACAACGTGTTGTGCAGAACTATTTGGACTTCCCAGAACATTTCTGACCATTTTGGAGAACAGTGGTGAGCTCAGAACTAATGGCTTAAATGCAGCAAAAACACAGAGGAGTCCGCCTAATGGAAGCAGTTAGATAGCCACTTAGCAGAGAGCCTCCACATAACACGAATCTGCCTGCTGGACTCAGTCAACTTATACAGACGGGAGTCCTGCTCCTGTACAACGTTCTCTTCTACCTCTATTAGAGCAGGAGATTAAACGAGAACTCTGGGTGGATCCTATTTCTCAGAACTGGAATGACATTTTTACATTTGCTTTATTCCTCCCATGATGTGCATCAAAGGAGAATTACTATTATTAAAATCCATCAAAGACAACGTTTAAAGGTTTTTGAGTTGGAAAATGTGTTTGAGGTTTGTCGTGTCCTCTCCCTGGGCTGCCACCTTACCGTGGTGGAGGGGTTGAGTGTCTCAATGATCCTAGGAGCTAAGTTGTCAGGTTTTCTGCCTCTGGTAGGGTCACCCATGGCAAACAGGGTGAGGGAATCAGACAAAGAGCAGCCCGAAGACCTCTTATGATTAATTATATAAATGGAAACCGTGTTCCCTCACCCAGACGTGGGTCACCGGGGACCCCCCTCTGGAGTTAGGCCTGGAGGTGGGGCACGTTGGCGAGCGCCTGGTGGCCGAGCTTTCACCCATGGAGCCCGGCCGGGCACAGCCCGAAGAGGAAACGTGGGTTCCCCTTCCCATGGGCTCACCACTCGTGGGAGGGGCCAAAGGGGTCGGGTGCAGTGTGTGACGGGTGGTAGTAGAGGGCGGGGACCTTAGCGGTCTGATCTTCGGCTACAGAAGCTGGCTCTTGGCACATGGAATGTCACCTCTCTGGTGGGGAAGGAGCCTGAGTTGGTGTGTGAGGTTGAGAGGTTCCAGCTAGATATAGTCGGACTCACCTCAACGCATGACTCTGGCAGTTTCCTTGAGAGGGGTTGGACTTTCTACCACTCTTGAGTTGCTCCCACTGAGAGGCGCCGAGCAGGAGTGGGCATACTAGTTGCCCCCCATCTTGGTGCCTGTACGTTG